AACGTAAGCAATCCCCACTGTTGCACCAATAAGCCGTTACCTATGAAGAGAGTGCTAATCGCGAATTATAGCTGCTGTGCAGAGTTGTTTCATTCTTACCACTACCACCTTTGGCCGTGAGCGATCGCCACTGTAGCACCAGCAAACTGTTACCTGTGCAGAGAGTGCTGATCCCGGGTTATAGCTACTGTGCAGGGTCGTTTGATTCTCATTACTACCACGTTTGACGTGAGCAATCTCCACTGTTAATAGCCCGTAGCCTTTTGTTTGTTTAATCATTCTGAATTCACTCGAACTAAGGTATGGAAGTGTCCAAATTCCCCTCCCCCTCCGGATAGCCGGCTAGATGGAGAGCTTCCCTTTCTTCTCCATTAAAAAATGAAAGCCGCAATGCCCATAGCCTGTGCACAGAGTGCTAATCTCGAGTTACAGAATACTTGTCACACCGTCATCTATGGCAGAAAATACCAAAGCAGTCCCTGTGGTGGTGCGAACAATTGTGCAAGAAGGTTCAGAAGCGGACGAGCTAGAGCAAGCAAGTACACGCCTCGCCGTGGTTCACCTGCGGCACAGGACCATAGGGGCCTGCAGTGTTCGCAACCGTCCCGTCCGTCTGGGATGGCTCAGGACGGGGACGGACGGCGAGAAGCCGTCTGTCCGAGAGCAGGACGGAGACGGCACCGTCTTTTTGAGGCTGGACGGAGACGGACGGAAAGGACGGCCGTTGACGGAGAAGTTTTAGCGCACATAATAAAAATTATATGAAAATAATTTCAATTACTATTCTGGCCGTGATGCAAGATCTGTGAGTATATATCATGTCTGACTCTGTTTCTCCAAAGATTAAGCCCTCTGCACCCAGGATTTCATACATTTCGAAGCCTGTATAACATTATCGGGCTTGATTGGGTTTCGTCTAAAGATATACAGTAACCGCCCGATGACGGTGGATGACGGCCGACATTCCGTCCGTCTTGAGTAAGGACGGGACGGACGGCCTTGGCGCCATCCCGTCCGTCCTGCAGGAGTCTCGGACGGACGGCCTCAGGAGGCCTTTATGGACATGGCAACGGGAATGTTCTAGTCCATTCATGGAGGCGGTTCCTCCGTGGAGAGACCAGTCCATTCGCGGAGTCCCGCCCTCCGTGAATGGACTGGTTCATTCGCGGAATAAACACACTTTGTTAATGCACTGCATGCATATATGCGCACGCATGTATGCACACTCGGCTGGCCATATCCAGCTGAATTCAATCAGCACAACTAATTTCACATCTTCCAAATATCGAAACTCACCATCTATATCGCAGTTGATGGTTGTATTAGTTCCTAGCAGCGCCATCTTGTACTTTCAATCTTAAACGGAACACAACTCTGCCTGGGCCCAGTCAGAATCAAAAGCGACTTCGACTCAGCAAATACACGAGAGGCCTGGGCGCAGACAGATTCCTCTACCGCTGATGATTGCAACAATAGCGCTGAGGAAAGCACTCAAATGATTTGACCGAACTAGATACTGAGGAAGGAGAGGTTCACGAGGAGGAAGAGGTCACTAGTGAGGAGGAGGAGGAGGAGATGGATGAAGAGGATAATGTGGAGGAAGCGGGAAACTAGAAAGAGACGGTTTCAAATGATGACATAGACCACTGTGTAATTGTAGATGTACGACAACGTTGAGGCATACAGCTCGTAGGGATCACGATGAAGGTGTACAGAGTAATTTTTTTTGGTTGAGCGTAATTAGCACTTTTGTATATACACTCCGCGAATGAACCAGTCCATTCACGGAGGGTGGGGCTCCGCGAATGGACCGGTCTCTCCGCGGAGGAACCGCCTCTGTGAATGGACTAGAACAGTTATTGTTGCGCCCTACAGCTCCGCTGAAGGGAAAGGTCATGATGCCAGTACTGAATGTGGGATTATCAGTTCCGTCAACTCACGCCTATGCGTCCAGTTTTCTCCAACATCGTAACATATTATTGTACAAGACAGAAAAAATTAAGCACCTCGAGAACTAATTTCCCGCAAGAAAACAAAACCCGAATTTCCTATCACATTTGAGTAGGTATATAACCCCTCAAATGGAGTCCCGCAAACTACCACAAAAACTCATCGGGAGGGTAAACCTCGCTCATTGCACCATCCAACGCCTTTTCGCCAAACGCAGAGTCGAAACCACGAGGTTCGGAGTCCGAACGGCGTTTCTTGAGTGCCTTGGACCTGATCTCTTCCATGGAGCTCTGGACGTGGTCTTCCACCCCCTGGCTGATCCCCAGTGGTACCAAAGGCGGGAGTCTCCAACCGGCAACATTCTTGCCGTGGTGGGTGGATACCATGATTGTTATTTTCGGATACCACTGTTTGATCAAACCCATGAAAATATCGCAAAGGCTGCAGAGAGACTTCGACACGCCAATCTCGAGAGTCATGAAGGGAAGTGTTCCTTGTTGAACGAGATCATTGACAATCTTCATAACCAGTGTACACTCACAGTGCACAGTCCGATTAACGGTATTTCGCCGAGAAAGGGGCTGCGGGAGCAAGGGGAATTGGGTTCTTAAGTCCGTCTCAGTTAATCCCGGATCTTTTATGTGTTGGTGTCGCGCCCATTGGTCGATGATTTCAACGCTAGTCTTCTCAATCACGATTTTTTCGGGAGGCGGCGGGGGAACCTGCGAAATTTGTCAGAGAGTGCGAACAGCGGCGACTTGAGTACGTACTTCCTGTATGACTATGGTTTGGAGGGTCTGGGGGGGAAGTCGGTCGATTTCTCCAACTAGTTGTATAACGGCTCCGAGGTAGTCGCCTAGCTTACGAATTCTCCGTAACAGCTTCTGATCAATCATGCGATACATCTCCGAAGAGAAGCCCACCGACTGGGCGGTTGATACAGCGTACCTCAAGAATTTCGGGTCCTTGGAATGCTGGGTAGAATTCAGAAAATCGCACCAAGAGATGAGAAAGCTTTTCAGGGACTTTTCGGGGTCGATCTTCAGCCGTGCTTTGAGATTTTTCACTACCTTGGAGTGAAGGCAGCTTTCGGAGTGGATTCCCCGATCTGCAGTGGACTGAAGTTCTTTAACTCTCCGCGATACCTTCGATATGCGAGCCTTTATCTTCTTTTGGCACTTGTCGACGATAGTAGCCATTAAATCCTTATAGCGATCGATAGGGTTCCTGTCGGTCTGGGAAGCGTAATTGAAGAGCGTGCGAACGTACTTATTCTCGCAGTCGGTGAACGGCCTATTCTTGCTGTAGAAGAATTTCATAGATCCGTTCGTAATCAACATGGTCGCTGCCACATCAGACTTCGCTTCGGTGACGAGCAACAACGCAAGTAGATCCAAGAGAACCAGGTGTTTTGACTTTTGGGAGCGGTGCAATCGGCTGCTGTCCAGTTCGGCACTCACAGCCATGCCAAGATTGTCTTCGTCGTCATCGGTGTCATCCTCATCATCGTCGGTATCATCGTCGATAGCGGTGTCACCGGTGTCCCCATTTATGGGTGTCTTCGTTAGCGACAGTTGGGGGGCGTTGTCGAGCGAAGAAGACAGGCGGTCAATTGAAGAGGGAGGAGGCGATGCCGTACTGTAATTGACTTGACTGATTGCAAATATCATCTCGTCGAGGGTCGGGCAAACAACGTCAGTCGCGGACATCGTGGCAGAGATCGTTTGTAGAAGGAACCGTGACGCCTGTGATTGAAAATAGACCTGTGGAAACAGTCTCTCGAGGGGGTCGCTCGCAACGAACTAGTTGCACGAATGAGGATAAGTATTTGAGTCTGACGAAGCAGCTTCGCGACGAGGGGTTCTTGGCGCCAGGCATGTGCTCCAGCACGAGATGGATTTAGTCATTTTAGGCACAACACACATCAACTAGTCGACGAGTTCCATCGAGAGCAGCCAACGAAGCCACGACGATAATCAACTTGACGTCTTCAAGATTCAGGGCTAACCCTTAGAACAAGCGATTCCACTAACGTATTTGACAGAGTAACCAACCATGACCGGATAACCGACCAAGTTCTGCACCCATTGTTTCTGGGCCAGAATCATAAGTTATCTGGCAGAGCTCCAATGACTTTGCAAAAAGTTCTGAATAATTGTCTACCATGCTAGTATACAATACATATTACTAGAACAATTCTGATATACATACATCTTCAATATATATGTTCTGGACCATTGGTAACCATTTTGGTTTGCAAGTGGCGAGTAACTAATTATGTATGGGTCTACATCGTGACTCAGATCATTAGCAACCCCTCTACAGTCCATTCTAGCAGCTTCGCTAGCCTTCTAGAAACACGTAGGCCTTTCGGGCTAAATCCCGAGTCAACAATTGTATCAAGTGCTGTACGAAAATTAAGTAAAACTACAACTTCGATTGACCCCCAGTCTCTGGAAGACAACATTAAAGGTCATTAAAAGTCCGGTGTTGGCATGGTGGCGTTAGCACTCGAAGTGCGCCGTTGTGCACTTGCGTTGGCGGTAGGAACTGGCATATATTACATTCCTAGCCATGGCCTAGTTAGTTGTAAGAAGATATTGGCGTGCGTATCGGGCTGGAAGTGAAGCGTAGAATGTCCGGTTCTTATTTTTGTGCGTTGTCCATGCTCTCTGTCACAGCGAGATCACAGGTAAGTTGAGCCTTGGGAGAACTAGAACGGGGTGAATGAAGGAATTGAGGTATTTAGAGGACACAGCGAGGGAGAGGTGTTGTACGGTGTTGTCGACGTGTGGGATGGATGAGTTGATGTGTATTGGTGTGGTCACGACTCACAACCGTACTGAGGTACATTCACATACAAGAGATCCAGGACGCACATGAGTGAGAACCAAAGAATAGGACATCGACCGCCCTGCTTATGGCATTTTGTGGACTAAATAAAAGAACGAGAAAACTCTCTGAAAAAATGCAGGCGGGACTCATATTACGCTACACTACGATCACTAATTTACTTCAAATATCTGGTAGCATCTACCATAACATCCAAGGGCCCCGTGGTGTAGTGGCTTGCACGCTGGGGATATATTTGAGATATTATAACATCTAAAGTATATTAAGAGGTCGCAGTTCGAATCTGTGCGGGGCCATTTCTTTTTTCTTTTCGTGGACAACTAGAGGGAAGATTAAGGTTTGAATAGTTTTTCGTGCCTAGACTTAGATGGACCTAACGGCATACGAGCTCACCAGAAAGTTTGGGTGAGTGAGTAATTTAGTTGGTTCGTCTAGTCATTTATTCCCGAATACACCAGTCGGACTTCATTAACGTGAACGTTTGGATAACGCTAGTTACATTCTTCGCGAGGAACTATTGATTCTTATCTTTGTTCCTAGATCCAAATCGGTAGTTCTACCTGCAGTGTCAGCATAGTATTTGTTCGAGGGTGTATTCCGCATTTTTCAGATAACTGTTCTGACCCATTCGTGGAATCGGCCCATCTATGGACAGGGCGGTTCCATGAATGGGACAACCAAAAAAAAATTCCAAATTAAATTTGCACCACTAAGAGGACTATTGAGAGCTTGTAATTTAATTTTTGGAAAAGTCAACTTAGTAAAATAATTACAGATGAAGTCAGCAAAGCTAGCGAAGCCGGTGAAGCCAACAAGACCTGCGAAGCCTGCGAAGCCATTAATTATCCGCTATACAAATCTCTTCAAGTTCAAACTACAGAGAAAAAAGGGTTACAAAGAAGGTCGGTTGTATGAAAGCAAAGCGAAGCTAACTCTACTACAGCCCAGAGTTACCCCTCCTCCTACTGAACCAGGATGCAGTAAATCTTATGCTCAACAGGCCAAAGAAATCAAAAGGCAGATGTATTTGGAAGATAGAGTGGAGGAGCTGAAAGATGAAGTGGCTTTTTGAATAGCTACATAGCTGATGCTATTCATCAAATGAATGACCTGAAAAACCTAGTTCAAAGTCTCAAAACGGGCTGAGAAAGTTATTTGGTAGAGTATACTGTGTAGATAGTGAGGAAGTAGTTAGCAGTACACTTTGAACAAAGTGAAGTCATTTTGATATTTATTTATATAGAAGTGAACCGAAGCCGACTTTTAAGAGATTTACAACTGTAAAGCGAAGCTAACTATCTTATAAAAGAGATAGAAGTGAAGTGGAAACAACTGATTACAAAAGAATGCATAGAAGCAAAGCAAAGCCAACTGAATTATAAGAGGCCTGGCTTTATACAAGTGAAGCCAAAATCACTGACTTGTAAAAGAGATTATAGAAGTCAAGCAAAGACAATTGATATGTAAAAGACACTTATAAAAGGAAAGTGAAGCAAAAACAACTAACTTGTAAAAGATTTATAGAAGCGAAGTAAAAACAACAGATATGTAGATCATATTTATTAAAGGAAAGCAAAGTGAAGACAACTGACTTATAAGAAATTTATAGAAGTGGAGCAAAGACAACTAATATGTAAAATACATTTATAAAAGGGAAGCGGAGCTGAAAGATATCTATAGATGCGAAGCAAGGACAGCTGACTGGTAAAAGAGATTTATAAAAGCAAAGTGAAGCTAACTAACTTGTAAAAAAAATAGAAATGAAACAAAGACAACAGATATGTAAATGACATTTATACAAGGGAAGTAAAGCAAATCAAAGACAACTGACTTATAAAAGAGTTGTGCAGAAGCAAAGCACAGGAGTAACGTATTTTACCGGGAAACCGCCCAAGACCGGGAAACCGACCATCCGGAGGTGACATTTATTAAGTCAAATGACTGGTCTTAACCACTTTCCCTGAACATGTAACTACTGGACGTTGACTATTGACCTCTTCTCCACTGTCTCCATCCTCTATGACATCAACTGGGAATGGCCTACTTCTAACATATATAACTGAGCTCTCCTCCCCCTCACGTTTCTCATTATCCCACCCCCCTCCATCTGTGATATCTTCTTCCTCATCCTCCCAATCACTAAAACAACTTGTATCCACCTTCTTCGAACCTACACCCTGCTTTTCCACATGTTTGGACTCTTTGAGTCCCTTTCCTACTGGTGCTGCTTTAGCTGCAGCCTTATCCTGGCACTTTTTGGTTTTGGCCGCTTTTTCTTGATCAATCCTCTCGCTCTCTTCTCTGAGCTGCCACCACATCCTCAGCGGTATACACACGAGGTTTACCAAGGTGGCGTCGATTGTCAGCTGCAACTGCAGTGATATCCTTGGCCCCAGAATGAAGGAATCTCACCATTTCCTCCCCCAATTCTGTGTCGGCAATTGCCCCCTGGGCAGACCTTCCCAGCTGACCTATGAGATACATGAGCTTCAGAGAACAAGGTGTTTGATGAGTGACAAGGTGCAATGCACTGCGCGCTAGTCGGCTAACGGCTCTGGGCTTTCAGGGAGTTTTCGGTTCAGCAGCAAC